GCCTCCGCGGTCTTTAAAAGCAACCATTTGGAAAAACTTTGATTTTACCTTCAACCCGGGTAAGAAATGGCTTGACATGACTCATGCGATTTGCACAGATTACAACGGTAAAGTTAAGTATTTCGGGAGTACTTCAAATTCCCGTTCTCATCTCGAAAGACATCACCCAGAGTTGTTGGTAGAATTGGATAAATCCAAGACATGTTGTCTTGGATTTACCTTTCGGTGTTTACATTATTGCAATAGGTAAATAAAATATTTACAATTATAAAGTCTTTCATGCCAGCAGACTGGAACAGATCCTGAGAATCGTTTTGAATTGTAAATATTTTCGTTTCGAATCGTTTGGATTTAAAAGAATCAGAAAAAAATCGAATTGTGACCCCAAGAATCGATTCTAAATCAAATCGTAGGAATCCCAAAGATTCACAGCCCTAATTACAAGGCTTTTGTTGGACTACTCTATAAAAGTCTGGAATTCAACACTAATCCAGAGATTTTAAATTGAGAAAGCTTTCTGGATGGGAAGTGAAACGTCTTCAAACTGGGAAATAAAATCCAGTGGTTGTTGTTTTTTGTTTTTGTTTTTTTGGAATGACTATGACCAGCAAACTGTTTAATGGGAGGAAAAAGAAGGAAATAGAGCGAGTGTGTGAGCAGCTACCTTGTCCTGCAGGAAGAGGAGCACCGTCTGGGAGGGGGAGCCAAAGGTGGGGCTGAGGGCAGCAGACAGCTCCTTCATGGATACGATGTGTCCAGCCAGAGGAGAAGCCAGAGGAGCGAAGCTGGAAGACGATAAACAAATACAGAAGCTAAATGCTAAACCTTCATCTTAGGAGACATGGAGGGATAGCAATCATTGTTTGGTTGTGCAATTACTGCAGGTTATTGACGGATAGGACTGAATATCCTCTTAAAATGTATTCATTTCTTTTTGCACACAGTAGTTTGAGGAAACCCAGATGATAACTTAATCATTTATAATATTATTATTAAGCTGTTAATGACTTTTCTTTCATCCTGTTACAAAAAACAGAGGTGTCACGGAACAAAGTACAAATACTTTGTTACTGTACTGAAATACACTTTTTAGGCATCTATACTTTACTCCATTACTTATTTTTCTTCCTACTTCTGACTTCTAGTCATTACAGTTTCCAACAAGTATCTATACTTTCTATTCCTTACACTTTTAAAACAAACATTACTCGTTGCTCTTGGAAAGCAAAGGACGTTTTGTTGTGTTTGATTTCCTGACAGACCAGTAAATGGCCTGTACTTATATAGCACTTTTTCAAGTCAGAGGAGTTGACCAAAGTGCTTTCTAGTTAGGCTTGTCCCGATCCGATCCACGTATCGGATCGGACGCCGATATTGGCAAAAAAATGCGTATCGGCAAAGCATGTAAAAATGCCGATCCAGTTTTTAAAAACAAATCCGGTCCGTATTTTCCAGTTTCGCCGATTGAAACAATACATTCCACTATTTTGCGCCAGTGTTCCCCGAATCCAGTCCGTATTTTCCAGAACACCTTCAACACACCCACAGGTCTTTTTGGGTCTGTCTCCCGGCCTAACCATTAAAACAGGTGAATTGGAAGATAGCGGGGAAAATGTCAGCCGTGTGGGATTATTTTATCCTGCACGATGTGTAGATTAGGCTTGTCCCGATCCGATCCACGTATCGGATCGGGATGCCGATATTGGCAAAAAAATGCGTATCGGCAAAGCATGTAAAATGCAGATCCAGACTGCCGATCCAGTTTTTG